CATTATCATTGCCGGTTCGACGCAACAAGAGCATGATCAAGCATTCATGAGCATGCTTGAAGCAACAAGGAAGAACAACGTAGGCCTCAATTCAACAAAGCTTCAATTCAAGCAAAAAAGCGTCAGTTTCTTTGGACATACCATAACGGCAAAGGGAATCCAGCCATCCAACGACAAACTGGAGGCAATAAGGAACATCCAAACCCCAACCAATGCAAAAGAGCTACTCACCATACTTGGAATGATCACTTACCTCAACCGATACTCGACAAAGCTAGCACAACTAACATCGCCCCTTAGAGATCTCATTAAGAAGAACGCACACTTCAAATGGGAAGAGCAGCATCAAACCGCACTCGACAAGATCAAGGAAGAACTTTGCTCAGTTCCAGTTATGTCATACTACGACCCAAACCCAGAGACGGTTACTGTCCTTCAATGCGACGGGAGTCAAGAAGGATTGGGCGCATGGATCCGACAGATAGAATCAGACAACAACAAAAGGATCATCGCAATGTCATCACGAACACTCACAGACACCGAAAGGAGATACTCCAACATCGAACGTGAATGTCTGGCCGTGGCATATGGTCTTGAGAAGTTCGAATTCTACTTGCTGGGACGGACAACCATCATAGAGACAGATCACTCACCACTTGAACAGATATTCAAGAAGAACATTAGAGAAGCCCCAGGAAGACTACCAAGACTCCTGCTGAGGTGTTTGCGGTTCGATGTTCAAGTGAAATACAAACCAGGAAAGACAATTCCCATAGCAGACGCACTATCAAGAGTCTGTTTCGACAAATCACAACAAATCACAGACAACGAAGTTCACCTTGTTACAGACACACCCTGCCCTATCGACATCAACGCAGTGAAGTCCGCATCAGCGCTGGACCCGGTCATGATTAAACTAAAGGACACCATCTACAGAGGACGGCCTGCCCACAGAAAAGAATGCCCACCTGAACTACTAGACTACTGGAACTTCAGATGCGATCTAGTACTCGAAGACGGTCTAATCCTCAAAAGCGACAGTCCTCATCCCAAAGCAACTAAGGAGGCAGGTACTAGACGTAATCCATCTTGCACACCAAGGAGAAACGAAATGTATTCTGCTAGCAAGAGAAGCGGTCTTCTGGCCWGGGATCAACAATGACATCAGAGAAATGGTAAAGGGCTGCGAGACCTGCAACAAGTATCAGCCAGCACAAGCCAAATTGCCAATACTGCAACCAGAACTTCCTACTAGACCATGGGAAAAGCTAGGAACTGACATATTCGAATTCAACTCATCCAAGTACCTGATGGTCGTAGACTACTTCTCAAGGTTCTCAGTTATACGACTCATCAGCAACATGACAGCCAACACCATATGCAGCCACTTCACCCAAATATTGTCAGAGTATGGGCTACCATCGCATATCCATGCAGATTTTGGTACCCAGTACGTAAGCAAGGAATTTCGAAAGATGTGCGAGAACAGCGGGATCAAGCTGACGTTCAGCTCCCCGTACAACCACCAGGCAAACAGTGTTGCAGAAAGAGCCATAGGAACGTGTAAGTCAATGTGGAAGAAGGCACTAGATGAGAAGAACTGCCCCTATTCGGCGATGTGGATGTACAGAACCACACCCCTATCACACAATATGCCATCACCATATGAGCTGATGTACCGACGCAAGCCTAGAATACTGATACCAAGTAGCAACCACGCTCTACAGTCAACTCATGCGGACAACCTCCACCACAAAGACATGAACCAACTCTACCAGGAGAAACAAGCTGAGTACTACAACAGAAAAGCTAGTCAAACTGACAGGCGACCTCTGCACTCCAACGAACTCGTGTACATGTACAACACCCTCACAAAGACATGGGACAAAGGTAGTATAATGAAGATTCCCAATCCTAACAGTGAACCGAGAACGTACATCGTTGAGAAAGATGGAAAGCTGTACCAAAGGACAAGAGAACATCTGAGACCAAGACCTGTCCATCAAGAAACATCAGATAGAAAGCTCCATCCAATACCTACGCTTAACTTAGAGCCAAACCAGTTTCCAAGCCCACAAGTTAAGCAAGTAACCCCAACGACCCAAGAGCCAGTAAAACCAGAAGCGGCCACTCAGGATAAAGCTGGTGAATCCTCGACTCATCCAAGACAAACCAATCAAGACCACCAACAAGGACAGTACACCACTAGATATGGCCGCACAGTCAAACTACCGGCCAAACTACTTGGATTGTAGACAATATAGTTACGACAACTGCAAAAAAAAGCATAGCTTATAACCCATTAGTTTTAGTTGCCGTTAAGAACAGAAAAGGGGGGATGTCATAGTATTCCTCCTCATAAACATTGATTGAAATTGATATCCTGATTAGCATATAGATAGAATTACCTCTCACGCGGTTCTCACGGAGCACATGTAAGCTGATTATACAATACTACTGAATAAAGCATTTTTACCCACACAAGTAACTTCGACAATGCGTTTTGAATTCCTTATATGTGCTGAAAATGTTTATAAATGCTACTTATTTTTTATTCTCACAGGAAAGATGATTCCAATAAAAACACAAGACATGGGACTTGGTGGGGTGGGGCAATCAAAGTATGGTTTGCCTGCTCAGGCTCTGGCCATGAAATTCATTATGCTAGTAGTGAAGTTGCACTGCAGTTGCGCAATAGGAATTGTGTTTCTATTGCTACTGCTCTCTGTTTTCTGGTCTATGGCCAAGGTTATCCAAATTATTACAAAGTTTTGAAATTACGGCTTGGAATCAATGTTCTGGCCAAGAGCAATTTCCATCGGATAATCGAAATCGCTTATCCACATGTAAAAACCATCTTAGATGGAATGTGTACAAGGGCAAAAGAACGGATGCAATCAAAAGACCGATCTGAGTTAGGAAGTTGGCAAAGAGCAGTGACAACCTCAGATGGGTGCTGGCTAATTAGAGGATTCCACAGTCAGTGTTGCACCTTTGTGACCATTGATTTTCTCTCTGGTGCAATCCTTTATTATGGTCACTTGTGTATGCGAGGTTCCAACAACATTTCTGAAACAGATTTGTGGGACGGTACAGCAAAGGCAGCAGAGGGACATCTGGCACATCTGCTATTTTTGAAAGCCAAAGAAGAAGGAATGAACTGTGCATTGAATTGGCAAGATCAGGACTCCTCTTCAGGAATTTCATTTAGAACCGTGTTTCCGGATGGTAAGCTCAATAGAATAATGCTTTGTGGGGGACATGTTGGCCGTTCCCATGGAAACAACCTGAAAGAGTACAAGGGGAAGAAAGTCGTAGACCAAGGACTCATTTCTAAGCACAAGTTAAGCACAAGAGTTTCCAAGCATTGTAAAAGTACAGTGTGTTTGTGCAAAAATGAAACACTCAAAAGGTTGTGGCTGCTTAACAGATGATTTTATTGCAGCGGGAAAGAGAAACCAAAGAGTGGGAATTTCCCAGAGGAGTATGCTAGGAGAATGAAAGTGCTGGTTAAATATTATTGTCGTGATATCCACAAATGACTGAATGGGAATATGAAGTACGAAGAGTGTGGCTTCCATCCAACCTCTGTGTGCTCCTGTGGGAAATGTGGCAAGAAGACTGTACATGAAGACGAAGCCAGCCCTGAAGAACTGGCAACTGATGATGATGAAAAGAACAATGTCGATTCTGATGGTAGTTACGATGTTGGTGATGATGATGCAGATATTGTTGATGGTGATGTTGATGATGCAGATAGCACTAGTGTCGATGACAGTGGTGATGATGCTGATGCAGAAAATGTTGATGATGACGATGCGAAACAAGAAAATGAAATGATGGTTAGTGGCAGTGGTGATGAATATGTTGGTGAAGAATCAGAATTTAAAGAGGCATCAGGTAGTGAGGTGGAATCAGAGAGTGAAGAGGAATCGGAGAGTGAAGAGGAATCAGAGAGTGAAGATAGTGATGAAGACAGCCTTGACATTCGTTGTGATGGTAAGCCCTACTCTGCTCGGCATGTTTTAAAGTGTGAGTTTCATGCATTGCTTTATGAAATAGAATGCATGAGGATTGCAAGGAAAGCAGAGGACGTTGTTCATGAAGAAATGGGAAGGGGACATTCCAGTTTGCCTGAAAGTAAATTCTATTGAATATATGTATAACAATAGAAACAGTAACATCCTTCAGAAATATGTATAATTATATAAATATGTATGTATTTACGAGATTGTTAAGAAAACTATTGAAAAGAAAGCTATGTTCAAACAGAAAAGGTTTTTTACAAACTGAATAATAAGTGAATACCTTTTCTGATAACTTTCTGTGTACTAGTATGTATGGTCAATAGACCTCTTTACCTTCGTATGCAAATTGCCCATTTCAGACCACAAGACATTCCCTTGAGAACTGTTCTTTTATGATGAATATTTAAAAACATTTATACACTCAATTGAAGAATCGTTGTCGGGTTCAGAAACACAGAACATAGAAGCCGAGACCGAAATGGCACATGGGAAATAACATAATTATATTATAACTATGCTTATTTTCAATACAAATTTGTAGGCAAAAACTTAAAGACCTGGCCGATTGAGCAAAAATGGGAAAACTAGTTATGACAATGGTAGTGCCCAACAACAGCCAATCCAAAAATCAACAAAAAATAGCGAGATGGTACTTTTACAAAATGAAACATATTTACAAATGATGAATCTTATACAAATCTTATCTCAAAGCGAGTGAAGCTTTTTTAAATCCAGTTTGTGCTGTCAAAATTAGTATTTTGTCAAATTAGTGATTTCTTAAACAATTTTCCTATCTTTAATTTGTAGGGTGTGACTTGAAAAAAGAACTTGGCAACATAAAATCAGTATTACAGAACAAAAAAGAGTAAAATATCTATGACCGTGAACAATTTAAAATTTTATGTGATAAAGCAAAAGCTCACAAACTTTTTAGAACTTTAAGGAATGCCATCACAAGTCCAACTCATTCAAAAGAAAGAATTGAGTTAAATGAGAAGAGGGTGGCGGTAGCCATTATTCACAAAATGTGCTACTCATTAAGACAGACATGTAATATTTTTCAAAAAGACCACTCATGATATGAACGAAGAAACCAAAATAATCAAGAAAGTCTAGACACACAGCACATATTGGGCAACACATGTTGCAGACGAACAGTAAGCAAAACTGAACATGAAATGGCTAGTAATCACAAGCTTAAATTAGAAGAATTCATTCCAAAGGCAATTCAGAACAAATGGTTACTCATTAAGTAAGCATAGTTTAAGATATATCGGGCCGGTTGTGTGGGCTAAGTTGCCAATGGATATTAAGAATTCCGAATCATTCAACTCATTTAAGAGAAAAGTAAGGAAAGTAGATATTGATAATCTCMTCTCAGAGAGATGTAAAAATTGTTATTTATACAATACTAAGAGCTTTATTTAGTTGATGTATTTATTTATATTTTAGTTTTGTCTTTTTTTGATAATATTCTTACATTGTATTTTATCTGATATTTATTTTGCGCTTTTTTTTTTTACTTATTTTTAAATTACATATGAAGTAGATGGGATGGGAGGGAGTTTTATAGTGTATAGATAGGAAGATAGGTGTCCTCTATTAGTTCACAATTTATTGTAAACTAGAAAATTTCGACACGTAAATAAAGTTATTATT